TCTGTGCTGCCCTATAAGTGAGAGCCAGTGTCATCAACAGTAGACCCCTTTTTGTTCCCTGTGTAATCCAGTATGAATCTGCCACCCTGGCAATCTTAATGCAAATTGTTAGTACTCCGCCAAAACGCCTCAAACAAATTCCAAGTCCACATCGTTATTCATGAGTATTTGGTTGAACCCCGCATTTCTGATACAATGATCTAGACCATAACTAAATCGTCGTCGTCGTCAAGAAGGGAAGAAGAAGCGGTGCTCTTGGAAGACGACGCAGCAGAGGCCGGCTGATTCTCGCGAGAGGAGAATGCCGCGCGAGCACCGGAACCCTCAATGACGTACTGGGGAGTCTGTTCGCGAGAGCGGCTGTCCTCTGGACCAACCTCCGTCATCACCTCGTCGTCCTCGTCAGCGTCAGTATCGAAGTTGATGCTGGTGCCCGTGTCCGACTGGTCGTGACTCTCATCGAGTACCATTGTGCTCATGGCCTCAGCCACAGACTGTCCGTCTGCGGGGATGGCGAACTTGGCGTTGCCGTACTCCGAGCCCCCGTCCGTGAAGGACTCTGTGCGGATCGAGACGTCGTCGGCGATGACCCTGTTCGGGTTGAAGACGGTCGAGATGCCGTCTTGCACGTCCACGCTGCCAGGTCCGACGGTGCTACCGCTTCCCTCCAGACGAAGCTGTCTCAAGACGCTGCTCACCGAGCCTGAGGTGCTCGAAGCATCCGAGGGGATCGTGATACCAGTGTGATAGGCTGGTCCCGGACCGGCTGGACCATAATCGGCAGGAGGCAGGGAGTGTTCAAACACGCCTCCGGTACCGTCGTCGTTACCGCCGGCCCAGAGAGGCAAGAACTTCAACTCGTTGTGGTGCAGCTTCAGCAGCAAGTGCGGCGTCAAGTTCATCCTAATCTCGAAGTCGGCACGGACGCATTCCTGGTAGAACGGTTTGAGGAAGTCCTGGAGGGGTTTTTGGAATTCGCGGGTGTCGAACGCGTATCTGTAGGCCCCCATCATATCCAATTCGCGGGTGTCGAACGGGTTCTTCATGGAGAGGGGGCGAGGGAGGTTCAGAACGGCCATCCAGGCGCCGTCCCAGGCGAATTCGGGGTGCGCGACGAGGACCTCCTTCAAGTGGTCCCACAAGGTTGTGACCAACTTGTACACATTCATTTGGCCCGAGGCGCTTGAAGTGTATATTTCGGACAGAGACACCCATTTGTTTCCGACCGTCTCGTACATGAAAGTGCACAGAGCCTTCTGCACGTTGTTGAACTGGTTGTAGATGATTTCGAAGCGGTTAAAGTTCTGAATGTCGACGTAGCTGGCTCGGTGGTCGTCAATCTTTTGGAGATCATCGGCGTCAAGAGGCTTTCTAAGCAACTTGTAGACCACGTGGTTTTCCCATAGAGTCTTCAGCGTAAACGATACCGTCATCGCGGAGACCTTGGCTTTGACCATGACGGGGTCATCTGGGCAGCTCGAGAGCATGCTGATGAGGTTCTGCAACCGCGTCCACTCCGGAATTTGCAGATCGTCGAAGATGGTGTCGCTGACCAGCTGGTTGACGGGCCAGGAGACGCGCTCGACCATGGCTCTGGCCGCGTGCTGGATGAGGTTGTTCAAGTCGTCGCCGGGATCGTGACGCTTGCGTCCAAAAACGGTGTAGGTTGCGGCTTTGGGCGTTCCCTTCACATCGGCGGCTTCTTCCAGAGCAAGCTCATTCACCAGGATTCGGAACGCTGAGCGGGTGACAGCCTCCAGCTTCAGGGCGACACCGAGTTGAAGACTCTCTTCGGGCAACACTTCGATGAAGGAGGTATTGTTGGGAGACGTGATCCATTGAAGAACTAGATCGCGCTATTGATCATGTTAGAATCAAACAAAGTCGATTAGGGTGGCGAAGAAACTCACCACAACAGTGGTGCAGTCCAAAATCTTGGCAACTGCCACCAGGGTCCAAACTCGAGCGGCCGAATCGATGAAAACTCGCTTGTTTGCAATGATGCACATGAGGCGCAGAATGTTGACGCGATGGCGGATCGGGCAGTAGTCCGGGATGCGTCTATAGGGGGGAACTGCGGGAGCAGAAAAGTCTCCTCTAGACTTCTTCTCCAGAACCCTGGCGGCCAATCCCTTGTCCTCACTGTAAAGCCTCTCCTTATTCTTGCCGTTTTCTGGAATGACATCGCGCAGACTCTCTCTGATAGCCGAACTGATGGCGTACTCCATCTCCGGGTCCCGTTCCTTGTTCTCATCTCGGGACGCTTCGCTCGCTGAGATCTTGTCGATGATCGTGTTGAAGCTATCGACCTTTGCTTCTTTCCAACAAGAGCAGATATCGTCATGGCCACGCACGACGTAGTCGTCAACATCGTGCTTGTCGAAAGCTGTCCACCAGTTCATGATGCCCGGTGTCAGCGAGGCTTCAGTCATCTGAAAGACGAGATCATCGCCCTCGGAAGGAGGGGTAAGGTCCAAGACGTATTTGATGCCCGGAGGAAGATTCTTGGCAATCTTGCGCCGACGCTGGACACGGAATTGGTAGGTAGGATTCAGCATCTCCGCGAACTTGGATGATCCAGTGGCCAGGAGCTTCTCAGAGGGCATCCGAAATCGGACCGAGTTCCATGCGTAGATGAAGCAATCAACGCTGTCTGCTGGGTTCGCAGGAGCAGGGAAGTCCACGAAGATCAAGGTATCGCCTTCGTTGAGTTCATTCTGAATGTCGTGGAGAAGGAACTGGGAGTATCGGCGAGCCTGACTGTGCGGCATGTTGTTCTCAGTGGCGCGTGGTCCCTGTTGCGATCGTACAAAGTTACTGAAGGTATCGAGTGTCTGCGACGGGACATCAACGACTGCAAAGGCATCCGGGATATCAGTTGTCTCTTCGGGAGATGTTCCTTCACGGAATGTTGCTATAGGAAATAGCTCTGTAGCCAAGCGCTCAAGCAAAGGCTCCTCAGCAGCTTGCTCTCGGAGCGGAGGCCCAACGTACGTGACACCGCGATCGGGCTCATCTTGAGCACCGCCCCGGCTTTCTTCTTGATCTCCGTCCTGAGGGGCCTCCCACCAGTCCATGACTACAGGTGACCAATCGTTGTCTGCAGCCGCTGGTGGCGCCTTGTTCTCGTCCGAGGCCATTGCTGCGAAGAGATCAGGACATAGGCAACGGGAACTTAGTTAATGTTGAGATGAGGAGGATCTGGTCCTCTGAGCTCTCACACCGATGATGACTGACACCAAAGCAGCCGGGAGATTGACGACGTCGAAGTTAGAGTAGCAACCAAAGGTATGAGTAGCTTCTCTGGCAATCGAAACTGGCTGGGCGAAAAAGCGTGGTGAAAAGAGTTGAAGAATCGCAAGGCAACAAGTCCGCCAGTTCGCAGTCTGGATATTCAAAGATGAAGATTGGCGGGGGTGCGTAGCCTTGTCCAGGCAGCAAGGTCCCAGGGAGTCAGATGCCACTCAGCACGGTTCCAAACACCGCCGGCTGCCTCAGCCACGAGGCTATCCTACCAAGAGCGTCGAAGAGGAGATGACTGGAGAGAAGCCGCTCGCGAGAATCACCTGATGAATTGCGATGCTGTATGATGGTGGTTTTTGGGCAACGAGAATGCGATGTAATCAGAAGGAAAAGAATGAAGCTGTGACAGTGAAGGTTGACAGGAAGATGAGAAGCATGGATGGAGGGGTAAGAAAGGTACCTTCACTGTGCCCCGGTGACATGAGACCGTGTCTAGGAGTTATGCAGAAAACCAACGTGGGTTTCTACCAAACTAGGTACAAGTGTTCGGACATTGGGTACGGTGAGTAGACTGCGGGAACGAGAAAGATGACTGGATGACCAGGTATTAGGTAGGCAACTCGTGACTTGAGTGACTCTACTGCGGGTGCAGACATGACTGGTATGTTGAGGTGCTTTGATCTGGCTCGGCTTACACCTTGTGAGGGGCAGGGATACAGCTGTGGCATTACTTCCAGTACTTAAGGTACATAAAGATGGACAAAGCTCTCAGCATTCCGGAGTGGCCACATACAATAAAACCGAGAGGAACCATTGGCAGCCAGTGAGTCTTTCAGAGCTTTCAAAGGTGAGTGCAAAAAGAGGCCAATCTAGGCGACAGAAGACGGCTAACAGCGGACCCCGAACACACTTCTGTTCCCCTTCCTCTTCAAAGTAATGAAGGCGATGCGGGATAGAGTTGGTGGGCGCCTATCAGCCCAAACCAGGCAGTAGTAACTGAAGAAAGCCTCGAAAGGGTCACCCTATTGTACTGGCAGGCCTACCATCAACAGATGGGGGGGGAAATGGACAAAGTATCTTCTCCTCGTGGCTTTGTAGTAAGGCGACCTTTTTAAAAACCACCGCACATAACCAAGGTTTCCCAAGACTCATCGATACTTTAGCCTCCGTGCCGCTGTTGCCTGCTCGGGTGGCCAAAAGTGGGGGAAGCGGGTGACGTACCTTGTGCTTACCTGAGGTGTCTCCAAATACCACGCCCGGGGATCAGCTTCCAGCTCCGTTCCGGCCGGCCGGCGCTGTGTGGACCAAGAGCTGGAGGCTCGGTCTGCTTAGCCCCACTTCCACACCGACGGGCTTGACAAAGCGACTCTTGAAAGAAGAACATATTCCAGTCCCTTCTGTTGGGAAGATCTATTCTGCCTGACTGAAAGATACATCGGAGAGATACCACCTCCACTGTATATTCATACTGAGCGTGGGCTCCATTTTGTCTGGTTAACGACAGCATGGCATCATAAGCACCTCAGCTGACCGCTTGTCAGAACAAAGGACAAGGGCAAAATCTGATGTTTGAAGCGTATCGATGTGATGTAATGACGGCTGTTCCTCTACGGCTTCCCATAATCAATGCATTGATATCTATTATTGGGAGCTTGTAATGGTGCTGGAACCCTTCTAATACCGATGGTTGTTCGCATGTACCTCATCTGTACGGCATTGAATAGAGAATCCTTCTGACAGCTCACACAGTAGACAAGATGATGAAGAATCCAGAAGAATGGCCCCACTCACTGTCCGGTGACTGGATGCCTCAGCTTCCAACGGTAATAAGCCGTCCGACTGATGGCTACCTACCTTAACTACAGCACTCCGGGCTTCCAAAAAGAATTCAAGTATCTTCTTCAAGTTTACAACTTCGACTCCTCAAATTTCTTCATTTCAATCACCAGAATTTCTCCCAAACGCCCCCGACAACTATCGCTCTATCGGCCACTCAACTACTGGGGATCCTCAGCGCGCCTCTGCCTTCAACTTTACAAAGTCCTACATCGATAAGGGATACCGCATCCACTTGACTTACATATGTCGGATACACGCCCCAGATTCGTTAAAGTAACGGAGGGCTGGCTATGCAATTTAGGAGAACTCGAACGATCCATACGACCACCGCCACATGACTGCCCCGACTGTCAGACGGGGTACTACACTGAGAGCGAACAGCGTGCGTACATCCATTCCTACCATCACAGTATCTCAGATACCTCTGCAATCAAAACAGCCTCTACATACATCAAAGCACTTCAGGAGAGCAGAAAGCACATCACCAATCGACCTGACTCCCATGCTGATCTCCTTATGAGCCGCTGCCGGAAGCGAAGCCAGGAAAAACGTCGCGAGCTGCTGCACAAGGCCGTGCCTGAGCTGGAGGAATCGCAGTGGATCAACTCCAGATACGTATATAGCGACGAAAAATTTCGATACGGTGAGCGAACTGTACAAAGGCGACGCCAACTGTTGGTTCCATGGCTCAATGTCGAGGTGCTCAAGACGAGCCCGGCCATCCTATTCGCCCTCCTCCATTATCGGACTCTATATCCACCAGAGGACTTCGCTCCGCTAGACTGTCGTCAGATGGAATTATCATGGGCCTATGGATACTTTGACGTCGAATTCTCTGCCAAGTGCGTCGTCATGTCCGGACCACGGTAAGGCGATGTTGTCGACTGGGACGCCCAATGGGCGCACTCCGGATACACTCTGGGCTTTCCTCGCGCGCGACTTCTACTTGAGGCCCAAGCCTTCCTCATGGACGCGCTTTCCAGAATCACGGATGAAATTCTCGAGGGTGCAAATGCTGCAGGTGCCAGTGCAAAGACGGATAGGTGGAGGGACCTCACGTCGATCGGTTTCCGACACCCGGGGGAGACCGAGCTCTGGTCTCCCTACACCAACCCAGCTTTCTCTCGGCCTCCCAAGCTCAACATGGGATGCATGGTATCCATGGCCCAGACGCGCAAGGAAGAGGCTATCGACCATCTCATCGATCTTCGGTGCGACCCAGCATATCTTCGCCGTCACATCAAGGGTCTCTTCAGCAACACGCTCTTTCGTGTGATGGATACCGAGGACACGGCAATGATGGTGGCTCGATACATCCACACGGAGTATAACAGATACTACTGGTGGTACTGGATTGAGATTGAGTGCAAGCATGTGCGGGACCTACACGACAGATTTTTAGACAGTACGCATCCCGGCCAGCCGATCCCTCCTAAGTACGACCGGGCACTGGGCGCTTTGGAGCTTCTCCTCGTCAACCAAGCCCTGGAGCGGATTCGCCGCTTCAAATCTCTCATGCCCTGGTCCGCAGGACAGGCGAAACACTACAGCCTGTCCAAGAGACCTGGCGTACCCCTTGAAAGGGTCGCTCGCGGCTTGTCGCGGGACTCGAATCCGAACACAAAGAAGGCTCTAGAGAACGACCCGCTCGATTGGTGTCTCCATCAAATGATGGGCAAGCCAGACGACTATAAACACTTTGATCACGCCATGATCTTTGCAATGATTGACGACCATCTGGTCAAGAATAACAGAAAGGAAGCAGCTCGTATCGATGAGTTCCTCATGCGCGAAATGGCCGACATTTCTGCCCTCCGTGAGTGACTGATTTCTTTGTGTCTCAATCGACCTCAAAACACCTCCAGGGAACTTGAAGATGTGTGTCGTACGGAGAAGCGTGGACTCTGGAAATACATGAAAAACAATCCCAAAGACCACTCGAATCAAAAGTTCAAGAGGATGGGGAAGGCCCTTGTAGACGGCTTCTACGAAGGAAAGGCTCCCAGCGGCGCCAAGAATAAGGCATGGCTGCAGCAAAGCCAGACTATGCGAGGCTTTGTCGAGGGATTCTTCAAGAAATTGGAAAACTTGTTTCGGAAAGATCCCGAAGGAATCAACCTTGAAGCGGAAACCATCGAAGAGTTTCTGAGTGATGTGCTCGTCCAGAACAAGCCAGAATATCTGGAAGCAATTGCTTCAGAAGAAGAGGAGATCATGACCCAGATCACCAAGGCCAAGAAGCCTGCCCCGACACCTTTCTAGACAGAAGCACAGTGACGGAGGGATTCATTCGAGCTGATCTGGTCCAGATAATGCTCCAGATCAGCTCTACGAACTCACCGTGAACTGGACGGTCAGGAGCCAGCTTTTTCCAATTCATGCTGATACGTTGCTTCCATGTCTGATTTGAACATTTGGGGATCTAAATATTTGCAACACAGGCAAGCGGTATTCTGAAAGGCACGTACCTATGGGTGAGGTCAAGAATTTGAAGGTCGGGCTGAGCCCCGGAGCGGACCCCGAATACCGGCCCCACTCATCCGTTGCCCCAAAAGTCGGCTGCCGAGGTAACATTCCGAGGGATCGTGTCAGAACCATATCACTCTCCCCAAAATGTAATAATATTGACGAAACCTGGGTCCCTCATGAATCATAGGTTGATAAGCTTATTCAACCCTGACTCACACCCCACGAAATTTTCAATTGCCGCATCATTAGGTAGGATTCAGGAAGCTCCCGTAGAAAAGCTTGTTCCAGAAGCAAGGTTCCTCAGGTAGGGCAGCTCTGCCCGCTGCCAGAAGGGTCGTTCCGCACTGATTCATCTTCATCCGAGCACCCTCCCTTCCGAAAGAGGAGAGGAAAAGGAAAGAAAAGTTGGAATGGACAGGATGATTCCCCTGCTTTAGGGGATTCCCGATTGGCAGTCGGTGTACATAAACTTAGTATCGTCAGTTCATTCTCATCTCATCCTACATCCACGACGCATCCTGTCCCCCTCCTCCCAGATTCCCACAGCTTGACGCTTCAAGCTTCAGAGCACTCACTCCAGAGCTGCGTGTTTCCCAAGAGCTCCCCCGCACTCGGCAGGGTCATCGACTCAATAACCTGAGTTTAGTGGTGTTCTTATCAGTGTGGCATTGTTTCCAAGTTCTATTCCCTGCCCCCGCCGTCGGCTGAAACTTGGCCCAACTCTAAAATCAAACAATCCAGACCAGCGAAGCGCATGCTTCCGCATCACGCATTGGATGCATGCGCAACTTGCGTCTAGCTGCACACACGTGCCGCCAGTTGGCGCCGTCTCGAGAGAGTCATCCAGTCTAGGTACATTAGCAGCAGTATTACACATATCTTAGTACAGTGAAAAAGCATCTCCCTTTTGTCCGAATATGCACTTCATTCGACGTCCCCAATACATCCCCAGTCTTCTTACATCCTCAGTCTTGTTCACATCCCCAGATACGCTTCGTCATAGTCTTCTGTCTATGCCTCGATCACTCAGGTCGCCCTGACCGCCATTACCTCTTCAAACCTGTGCCTCCCACGCAACCCTGTCCCCAGGATAAGGGTAGCTGGGCGCAGGTATCAATTTACCCCATAGACAAGGTCTCGGCTCGGCTTCCAACCCAACACCAGCCAAGCTCCAAACCCCAACCGTCCAATCACATCCCCTGACCCCAGAAATCAGATACCGCACCGCCCGCCGCCAACCTGCGTGTCCCGCATGTCGCGTGTCCCGCTTCCCCCTCCATGTCCCCGTGTGCCTTCAGCTCCCTTCCCCCCGCCAAAGTTCTCACACGCCACCATCAGCAAAACACCGTACCACTGCCCACTAGGTACCCATCGCCACCGGTTCCAGACCAAACACACCACCCACTCACACTGCCTCTACTTCTCGCTTCCGTCTCTCCCTATTCGCAGCAGCAATATCTCCCTTTCCCTTTCCATTTCCCTTGACCGCACTGCAAAACCCATACCACGGCATTCGTTCCTCTCGTCAAATTTCCCCCCTCTCAGGATTCCCATCCCCCGGTCTGTCAGTCTGCCAGTTTCAGGCAGGGTCTAGGTACAAACACACTCACACTCTGCTGATCTGAGCTACAGTTCCAGTTCCTTTGTCCTCTATTCTCACATCTTAGTAATAAGTACCTAACACCTATCAGCCGTCCGATCCCCAAGCTTCCTTTGAACACAAACGCACACACCAAGCGGCACTAGTGACATCTTCCCCGTCCTTCCCCAACAAAAACACTTTGTATGTCTACCGATGATGCCCCCCCCCCCCTCCCCTCCCTCCCTCTTCCTCTCCACGTATGCTGGTGTGCCGCCGCCGCCCCCCGGCAAAGCTAGGGATGGACCTAGCTAAGAGGCTAAGAGCTATCGAGGACGTCGAGCCGTCTACTTAACTGGAGAACCCCCCTTCTCGATCTTCTGCTCATTCTCCATGTACCTAGTTTTGGAAATACCACATTGAGAAGTGAAAATCCCATCGTGAACAAATCAACCATCCTCAGCCAGCTATCATCCAGCAAAACATACCTACCTACCTACCTACCTGTTACCATGCAACCCAAAGCCGCAATGCCCGTCCCTCAGATCCGCCCGGCAATGTACGTCTCCTCCCCTCCGCGCTCACACTCCCTCCTTCCCTCCTCCCAAAAAGCCGCCGACATCTTCGTCATCTTCATTGAATTATTCAACACAAGAAAACTAACCTATCCATACACAGCCGCCACCGAGGCCTCATCGTCGTAACCGCAGCCGTCACAGCCGTCGCCGTAAGCTTCAGATACACCGCCCTCTCCCGGAGAACAAACGACCAGAACCAGTGCTCCAGCAATCCCTACTACGTCAGCGTCGACCGGAGCGGCGGCGGGATCTAGAGTCTAAAAACCCTCGAGTTTGAGAAGAAAAAAAAAAAAAAGAAAAAAAACACAAACACCAAAACCATATACCCAAACGGTTACGAGACACGGATTGGTTCGGTATAAGGGGAAACTGGGAAATCACATATCTCAATGAATATTTGTCACGGCGTTACCTCACAACTCATCACCTCAACCTAAACAACATGCTGCAAACAACCTTCAGTCTTAGACGGCTGTATCTGAGGAGCATATCAATGGGGGGCGATGATCAAATTGACTTTTTATGTAAAGTATGAATACAGGAGACTTGGATGATCTGTAGTGGGATGGCGGCACTCAGATCCAATCCAGAACCAGATCTATCAAAATAACAGACCAAAAATTCCACAATCATTACTCCATCCACATGTCCAAATGCAATCGCAGCCAGCTAACGATGTATATGCGGCATGCCTCGGAAAAAAGAAAAGAAATAACACAGAAACAAGAAAGGCAGGGGAAACAAAAATGCACAAATACAACTAACCTCCAGAGGGAGGAAAACAAAAATCGTCTCTCTTGGTTCCAAACGCCCCAGTGATGCGGATGCCGGTAATCACCAACCATGACCTTGGTATAGCGCGCCGGAAAATGCCCAGCAAAATTTTCAAACCGCGACTCCCCTCCCCTTTTCACATTGAGCTTCGCTTCGTCGGTCCCATACCCGGACCCTCGCTGTCAGACTCGTCGCCTGATGAGTGTGCCGGCTCCTTACCCTTGCCCTTTGGCTTGTCCAAGGGGCCCAAATTGCTCTTACGGCTGGCCGGGCGTTTGCCCGTCGTTCTTCTCACCATCTTTGGTCTATCGCCGCCTCCCTCTTTCTGTCTTGCGATCTCGGGGCTCGTCAGCCCTGCAACCTTTTGCAGCTCCTCGCCTGATGAGTTGCGGCGAGTGGTAGGCGCCGTCGAGTTGGACGTCGTCTTCAGCCCGCGCAGCTCCCTCGCGACGTCTGCGAAACTCTCTTCCAAGGTCTTCATGCGCGCCAGGACAAGCTTGCTCATCCGGTTGCTGTCACCGGCATCCTGGCCTCGTCCCGCACCGCCTAGTCGTGCGTCCTTCATCATAGCCATGGCCATCTGTGTTTGGAAGCTTGAAGGCATGCCTCCCGTTGGGTCATCAGGAACGATGTTTTCGGACAGAATGCTCATGTCAACCGAAGACAACCTTCTAAGGGGGTTCGGGCGCTGTAAGCGCTGATCGATACCCGTGAGAGCTGCTCGGTTCGGCGCCGTTTGTACTGCATCCCTTGGTGGCATGATAGGTCTTGGCCGCGTGTTGGTGACATATGTTTGCCGGCGAGGGGAACGATGGCCACCAGCCGTAGCCGGTTCAACTACTGTAGGGCGACCATTCTGCACACGCGCACGCGTAGGCGGTGGCTCGGGCGAAGAATGAGAGGATGAGCTAGGCGGCCGACGCAACTCCTGCGGTGCGTACAAAATCGTGTTTGTTGACATTGTCCGGCTGTGTGGCATGCGACGCGCAGATCGAGGAGTAACCGATACGGAGGGCCTACCACTTGATCCCAATGATGAAGATGCCGGGGGTGGTACAAACCCCTTCGTCCTGGGCGTCGTATTGAAGTAATCGTCAATCGACGTTTGGTGTATGACGGGTCCCCGACGGCTGTCGCCAGCGTTCGTTGCGATATCTTCCTCCTCTTCCTCATCATTCGTAACGAGTTCATCGTCGCCGTCTGCATCCGTTTGTTGATTCTCCTCCTCCTTGGCTTTAGCCGCTGCGACAACATTCCGGAAGAAGGAGCCGATGGCAGGCTGTGAGACCAACTCTGCTGGGTCGCTAGCCGCAGATCTGACATCTGATATCTGACGAGATCTCTGTGTCCGCAGCTCTCTAGAGAGGCTGAGCCTTCTATGCCAATCTGGCCGAGCACTTGTGCTTCCGTTCTCCAGGGTCGGCCACTGGGAAAGCTGGAGATGAGGGGAGGGTTCTTCCTCGTCATTACGGTCCATCCAGTTTCGGACCGCATGCTGGGTCTTCTTTCTCTCGTTCCGCCTTTGGTTTCGCAGAGTCGCAAGGCCAGGACCTCGTCGGAAGACCTCCTCCAAGGCATGATCCTTCTGATAGCCAGTGATGGATTCTTCGCGAACGCGCACGTTGGGGCTGAAAAGAGCAGATCGACTTGCCGGGTCTGCAAAGGAAATTGTCCGATCCCGGCCGTGGTGGTGGTGATTTTCGACAAGATCCGTCGGCTCGTACATTGACGGGGCGAGCCAGTACTTTTCGTACAGGAAAATGAAGAACAGAAGAGGGAAGTGCGTGACCTTGATGATTGTTCTGTTCAGTTTGACGAAATGCTTGAGTGGCATGCAGTAACGCAAAGGCATCAACAGCCAC